GTCGTGTGTCACAGACGTAGCGTGTGTATTTGTCTGTCGAGGCCAAGCATGTCTTGCAAACTACGAGTTGGACTTGAGAAGTTGGTGTTGGTGCTTATCTAAGCAGGTGGGAGTACTCGCCCCTGCATTGTCTTGATCGCTGCTGAAAGAAGAAGCGTCGGATGCACTCCATCGCTGTTCTGTCGACCCGAATGCCCATGTGGAACGTTGGAGCGCGGTGTGAGCGGGCATGGTCAGGCTGATTTGTCTCACGTCATAGGTGAGGCCGAATTGAAGGTGCACCGGTGAGTTGTGGTACTGTGTGATGTGGAGTCTTCACCCGGTGCAGCGGTTGCAGTGGTGCGTGAACTGCGGCGACTTGTCAGCACTGAGTGAGGTGGACGCTGATGGATTTTCTGCTCAATGATATTGAAGTATTGAATGCGATTGTGTCACTGTCATTGTTTTTTTTCATTGGCTGTGTCAACTCATAATAAATGGTTGAATGTTAGTGGTGTTGAGTGTGTTTCTCCTTCAGTGGGATGGTTATGTGGCGTGCGACGATAGTAATGCTACAGTCACGTGCATTGGTAGACGTACTCACAGGAGGACATCGCGTAGGGTTGGTGTGTGTGGTAATGAGTGGTGATGAGACTTGATGAGTGTGTTAGAGCGCCGCCCCCTCCTCATGGATGTGTGAATGTATGTGTGTATGTAGGTAGAAGGGGGCGAGGTGGGAGCTTCGTGTATGTGTGCGTCAATCGAAAGAGGAGAGTAAAGAGTTGTGGGAGGGGACGTGGTGGAGGGTGAAGCAGACATGATTGCCTGTGTTGGTGAGTTGTGTGTATCGCTGGCACGACGCGCATCTGGAGTTGTGGCCATGGGTGATCGGAGGAGTGTTGGTGAGTGGTGTCCGTTATTGGGATGTGCTCGTTGTGGGTGAGCTCTACAGTGTCGTGTCCGACAGCGTTTCTCGCGGAGGGTGTCATTATGGGTGGGGGCTGAATCGAGTGTGGCTTTGCAGTCTTGGACTCGGAGAGCGCATCAAGGCTGGGTTTATTCGCTGTCGCTAATGTGTTTGCAGGACGTGATGCGCTTGTACCGTGGTGCGGAGTCGTGGGTGCAATCAGTGAGTAGGTATTGTGAATTAGCAGATGACTGTAGGTGTAGAGCCTCGTGCATAGCGCCACTAAAGAACTAGACAGACGAATGTAGATGCGTAGTTGAAGACTCGCTGGAGTATTAGACAGAAGAGTTGTACGAGTAGGTAGTGGTGTCAGTGGTGTTTAGGCGCGCATAC